GAGCGGCTCGCTGAACTTCTTGGACGCATCCAACCATGGGGTTACCGATTACGGGAAGATAAATGCACATTCTGTACACTAACCATCAAGTTCCTCGGCTTCATTTTCTCGAAAGTCGGTACTCGCCTTGATCTAAAAAATATCCGAGCTATACAAAAGATGCTTCTGCCTGCGGACCTGCAGACGCTGCGTTCACTCTGTGGCCTAATTAGTCAGTTCAGCGCTATTCTTCCCGGACTGCATCATCTGCGTGCCTCGCTGAAGAGGTTGCTGGGCAAAAGCCAAACCTGGAACTGGACCTCAGAATGCCATATTGCGTTCGAGCGAGTCAAGTCATTACTGCCTTCAGACCTACTTCTGACATATTTGACCCCTCTCGCGAAATTATTCTCTCCACAGATACATCGATTCTAGGGATCGGTGCCGTAGTTTCCCATACGTTCCCAGGTGGGTCTCAGAAGGCGACCACATATGCGGCCTGGACGACAATGAAAGCTGAAATAAACTAGAGTCAGATCGAGAAGGAGACATTAGGCATAATGTTTGCTGTGAAAAATTCCCACAAGATCCTGTATGGTTGCTGCTTCAAGCACTTTACGGTTCACAAATTGCTACTGGCCATTTTCGGCTCGAAGAAGGACATTATTGCGGACACAGCCAGGGGACTCCGACCATGGGCACTTACCTTGCTGGGCTATGCTTTTGAGATCCATTATCAGTCAACGGTTTCGATGGGCAAAGCCAATGCATTGTCATGCCTCACTGATTCCCATCAGCAAGAACACGAGGACACGATCAGAACCTCAGTTGAGATAGAACCTGATGTCAAATTCCTGGTTAGAGAGGCATTATATAGTTGCCAGTTACAGCAGAAGTTGTGCGGGCCGAAACGAATCGCCATCCAATTCTAAGGAAGGTTGCACAGGTCCACAGAATCAGCTTGGCACGCTCGCGTTCTCCTGTCGAAATACAACAGTTCTAGCAGCAAGGACATTCGTTGTTCATTGTGAACGAGTACGTCATGTTCTCAGAAAGAGTAGTCATCCCGCAGCTATTTGCAAGAAAGTGTGTTACGGCAGTTCCATGCAGGACATATAGGGCTCAACTGAAGGAAAGCGTTTGCCCAGACCTACGTGTTATGGCCGTTTATGGACAGACAGCTGGATGAGCTGGCTAGAAGTTGCATCAACTGGGCTCCCGCTTCAATAACACCGTCAAAGACCGAACTCTATTCGTGGTCGAAACCAACAAAACATTGGAGCCGTGTTCATGTCGACTTCGCAGGCCCAAGCAACGGCCAAAACTTTCTCATATTAGTCGACGCTTACAACAAGTGGCCCGAAGTGTTCCTCATGAGGAGCACGAAAACCATCGCAACGTTCTCAAAGTTGCAACAACTCTTCTGCAGGTTCGGCTGCTCTGAAACATTAGCGACGGACAACGGAACACAGTTCATTTCTGTCACATTCACGGCGTTCTGCAAACGCTGCGCCATCAAACAGGTGCGGTCTCCACCATTCCACCAACAATCGAACGGTCAAACAGAGAGAGTTGTGGATACATTTAAACGCACTCTTATCAAATCAAGTAGGGAAGGAGACATAAAGGAGTTGATAAACCGGTTCCTCCTTCTGTACCGATCTACCCAACGTCCGCAAAAGCCGGTTGGTTTATCGCCAGTAAAAGCAATTATGAAGAGAAAGCTCCGCGTGCGCTTTGATGCAGTTCGTTCGTCCTCAGAGCTCACAGCTGGTGAAAGGAAGCTCAAGATGGAACGTGATTTCAATCGGCGCTATGGGGCCAAGTGCTGATCGTTTAAACCGAGTCATTAGGTACTTGTACGGGATTAGCGTGATGGACACGTAAACTGGACGCCAAGCACGATCAGGTGCAAGCGCGGGAACATCATTTACGACTGCTGCTTGGAAGGCAGGTATGGGTATGCCACGGAAACCCGCTGCAACCAACATTGTGTGAGGTACATGCAACAGAATCTGCCTAGCTCCCATTTGACTTGTTGGCGGACAGCTTTAACTTATCTAAAGAGCCCGTAGAAGAGCACTGTCAGCAGAATAATGAACAATGCTTTATCACGGGATAAAAGCAAGTGCTTGACACGTCCCGTAGGATGGTTGCGGTGAATATGGTGCAATTAAAATATGTCTGGGTCATCTATCGAACGTCTGCCGAGATGAATACTTTGATAATTAACATCAGTGTAAAATGAAAAAAGTATCGCGCGTAAACGTTCAGAAAGACACTGGGGTGCAGTGATTGTTGAGGTAAGGAGTGAGAAAAGTAAAATATGGTCGCTCACTTAGGTCCATTTGATACATAAATCCTGTTGAAAACATGCTTGGCGTAATCCACAATAGAGGAGCTTAGGTAACAAAATGTTGGGAGCTAAGAGCAACATCTAGTCGTTTTTTGAAAACATCCAAGGTAGGAGAGGATACCACTGAGTCTGGGAGTGCGTTCCAGGGTTGGCAAACCCGAAGCGAAAAGTAATTCCGTCGACACTCTAGACGGCTATATTGTTCCTTCAACTTTAAGCAGTTACCTCTGAGCTGCGTGTTGTGGCTAAGTTTCAGCAAATGGCGGCATACGTGGTTGGGGTCACTCAGTATCTGATACGCTAATATGAGATCGCCACGCAGCCTTCGATAGTGTCCGCTGAAAATTCCCAGCAACTTCAGCCTTCGGTGGTAAGAGTGATAGCGCAGGCCCTTTACATTCTTTGTTGCTCTTCGTTGTGGTGCCTCTATCGCTTCTAGGTCGCGCTTCAACCAAGGTTGCCAAGCTTGGATAGCGTATTCAACATGCGGGCGCACGTAGTAATTGTGCATCATTGAGAAGATAGATGGGTCAAATCTCCCGAATGCCCTTCGCAGCATGCCGACGTGCTGGTTGCCTTTTTTCGCAGCTACCTCAGCCTGTTTTGAACAGTTGAGGTCGCTCTGTACGATCACACCAAGATCACGTTCCTGGGAGCTATTCTGCAATCTGTTTGTCCCAAGTATATAGGTGTAGTTACGTCTACGGCGTAATTGTACAACGCGACATTTGTCTACGTTGAACGGTAGGGCGTTTTGAACTGACCAGTTCGACACTGTGTTAAGATCGTGCTGGAGCCGTTCATGGTCGTCTGGTCCTCTGATCCTTCGCCATATCTTGATATCATCAGCGAAAAATAGGAAATCGGAAGTAATGGATCGCGCCAAATCGTTAATGAACACCAAGAATAGACGAGGTCCAAGAACCGAGCCTTGTGGTACTCCACACGTCACATCGATTGCATGAGAAAATGATTCTCGGATTCTCACCACTAACCGTCGTTCTTGTAGAAAATTGCTAATCCAACTCAGGATTGGATCGCCAACGCCGTAGTTCCGAAGCTTCTGAAGCAGAATTCGATGGTCTAAGCGATCAAACGCTTTTGAGAAGTCCAGGTAGGTGACATCGACTCCTACTCCATCATCAACAGCTTCAGTCCAGCTATTACGTGCAATTAATAGGTTAGTATTACACGAATGCTTTTGACGAAAGCCATGTTGCTCTGGAGCCATTAAATTGTGGCTTTCCAGGTATTGCATCAGCGCGTCTGCGATGATTGATTCCATCACTTTGGATAGTACGGGAAGTAGTGTTATTGGACGGTAGTTTGCAGGATCAGTGCGGCTACCTCCTTCATGGATAGGAGTGATGACCTCTTGCTTCCATACTTGTGGAATACGGTTTTCCTCTAGACATCGCTGATAGAAAATAGCCAGAGGTGCTGCTAGATCACTAGCTACCGCCTGTAGAGCCTTTGGTCGGATGTTATCAGCTCCGGGAGAACTGTGGATATGCAAGTATAATAACAGCTTCTTCAACACAGCTTTCGCAGTGAAGGTGATGTTTTCTGCTGGAAAGAATGAAACCAAACCGTAGGTTCTTGAACCTTACATTCCTTCAAGTGATTGCCAGCATAGGGAGTTCTGGCATGGGAGCTGCTAATTTTACCTGCTTCGTTTTCTAGAAACAGAAGGCCATTGAGCTACCTATAAAATTAGCGTAGATCTGGGACAGTTGGACAGCGTTTTGGCTGCGGTTCTGTTAACGCGTTTTTCACGGTCAAGGTCGTTGGACTTCTGATTTTTCTTCTGCTGGGCTGGAAGTCTTGCGGAGAATTTTAGGTGTTTACTTCGGAATAGCGAGGAAACTTGCACATAACACTTATTTTTTGTATAGATGTATTGCATGACCGGCCAGTGGTTTTAAGGATCACAAGAGTGCCTTGTAACCGAGGGCGCGGGTTAAGCCTGTGTAGAAACCGGGCGATTCTCGCAGTGTCCTTGGCCCACCTGTGGCTGGTGGTGGTTGCCCAGCAGTGAAGCGTCGGTATTGCGTATCGGCATACCGTTGATGTCTTTTTTCTGTTATGCAACATGTCCTGTGGAAAGTATCGAGGTAACAAAAACTCTTATACGCTACGACATATCAACTTCACTAGGTAACATAATCAACTGGACCTTCCAAGCAGACGAAGCACATGGCAACGTTTCGTCAGCCAGTTTAACACTCTGGTTGCCGAAACATTAGAAACAAAGAATTTCGCGTGGAGTGTCCACCAGAAACTACTGCTGACGGCTTCTCTAGGAGATAAAAACTGGATTGGATGGGAATCACTGTTAATAGACACAATGAAAAATAGCTGAGATTCACTTGAAATTAAATTGCCGTCCAGATTTAGCGACCTAGATCGCTTGGCCATTTCCATTCGTCCAGCGGGTGATTAGATGCATCAACAATGGGATAGGCATTAATTTGATGGTGGTCAGGACACCCGAGTTGTACATTCCTCTCGAACAAACGCGTTTGCCACAACACTGCATTTAGTCACTCACAAGCGTACGTACACACCCACACACATTCGCGCCAGTCGTTTGCGACCGGATAACCTCAGTTAAGGCTGACATGCAGAACCGAATTTGCAACGACACTATTGTTGTATAACTCACTGGTTCGTCAGTCCTGTCACTCAGTAAATCAGCTGGTGCACGTCTCGTAGGAAATTTGGCTGTGAGCAGTCTTGCTTGTTTGAGTGATTCCTGTGTGAACCGGAAAAGCAGTGAGAGGTTGATGGAAATCGGGCAGTCGCATTACCCAAGGTTCACTTCAATGTGAATTCCGGTCTACATGGAAATTGTGTGTTGCAATCCAATCATACAACATGTACTTCAAAATGACCCTTCAATCAGCAGAAGAGGTTGCTACATGGCCTAGTATACCATTTTGTTCAAGCGGTATGCCGTAAGCGCCGTCATGTGAATTCGCCTTAGGTCCTAATTCCTTGTCCCGGTGGAGCATGGGAATGCCATGTCCTTGATGCCCGAACCTCAACCAACTAAACAGCCAATTTCGAGTGGCTTGTTTAACGTCCACATTGCGCACGATTCTAATTGGTCCTTGGCTCCAATCCTCGTCGCCGATGTTTGTCATGCTCTCTGCTTATGACCATATATTCTGTGAGACAATTAACCTTTCTTGCACTTAGACGGATGTTGAACTGTGTGCCGGGCCTTAGCTCACGTGCACGTCACCAGTGATGTGTACGTACGTGGCGTTTAGAAATCCATTCATCTAAGGGTATTTGGGATATTCCCCATGGAGATCGTGAAAGCGTGGTAGGTGTATTTTGGTAGCCTTCAAACTGTGAGTCCAATAGGTTTCACCTCAGGTAGGTCAATGTGTCCGGAAGGTGACACGTGATCTCAAATGGAACCAACTTCTCAAAGACAGACTCCAGACCCAGTCCGAATCTTACATTCTCTATCAATTTACTTGCACCTGTGATGTGAGGTACATAGAACATACAACTAGGTCTCTGTCTAAATGGATAGCAGAGTACTGTCCCACAGCATCGCTGTAAGGTAATTTCACTTGCATCACGACTTCCATCCTAGAACATGTCATCGAAAGTAGACACCAAATTGGGACTGCCGATGCTTTCGAAGTATTTTACGTCGTGTGAAAAGGCTACCGCAAAAGGCTTAGAAAATGATTGTTACGGACGGCCGAAGCCATTGCAATCTGGGTAGCAGAACCGGAGCTATGCAACCAGAAGGCGCTTGTTCAAGTGCTCCTTCCGCGCAAATTTAACATACTTCCAGACAGCTTCTACTCCACACGCTGACACCGGCCGCGTGATGGGTGCGTCACCCAACCAATCGAAGAACACGTGCTCCGTCTCTTGAGTTAGTGTGTGTGTTTATGCCTGCTTACGTCTACTATGGTAACTGCTGCCTGTGTAGACCAATTTATCGGTTTAGAAAAATCAGTGTCTGCCTCGTTCTGTTTCCGCAAATCACTGCCGCGCTTCGCCAGGCTACCCTGTTTCATCTTTCCATTTTATAGTTGTAAATGCTTAATGAGATTTATCAGAAAGAGTGCACTTCGCAAACTTGTGTTCTAATAGTTCCATGGGTATAATTTTCGAATACATATTTTAATGTAGACCTCTGTCATTTCAATCAGTTGGACCACATATGCAAGGTTTACTGTATTGAGCACTCGCAGTTTGGTACTCCAAGGACGGTTTCGGCTTTGTTCTGGCTCTTATAGTGGAGATGGCCCGATTTGAGCTTGGTACCTATTACATAATGATTGACGGCTGACGTCATGATCACTAGGCCATCGTGCTCCGCGAGTAACGCTTGACACAACGTAGTTGAATGTTGTGTCTTGGTGTTAGCTATGCGGATTTGTGTGTCACTCTAATTTCTCGAATCATGGTTGGCCGTAAACCCTTATGTGAAATCATAGACTGGTCTGGTACTCAGAATAGTCTCTCGGTCGCATCACAGCCTCCTTTTGTGGTCAGCAACTGTGCACACGAACATGGCCCCTGGATGAACGCAGAGACTATGAAGAAATGTCGAAAGTTGGCATTTCAGAGCTAACTGTTCAAAATACGTGACCACCATCACCACCAAACTGAAACACTAAAAACCACTTGACCACGCTTTGCGCAATTTCCCCTTCTCCATATAGCTTGTGTTCACCAGAAGGCAACATAAAATAATCAAACGGTGTACTCCTACATTCGAACCAGAAAGATTTGTAATTGTTAACATGCGAAAATCTCATTGAGCTCAACGGTCCACGCTCAAGTTTGCTGACGCAGTTTTCGCTGAGTGCCATTTTTATCTTGACTACTCCACGGGACCTGTGTCAGCTCTTTTACCAGTTATAAATCGCTGTTCCATTGGATGCAAGGCCGATCAACGGCAGTCGTAGCTTGGGTAATCCTGGATCTTACAATTGGGCTCGCGTACTGACATAGCCTTGATCCAGCCGTCTAGACACGTTACCCATGTGTCATAAGTGTAGATGTGGAAAAGTACACTCATACCAGTAGAACTGTTCAGTCGATGGTTGTGCCTGCGCTTCGGCCTGACGAAAAGTTGAAAGCCACTTCGATAGAATATCACCCACCGACATGTATGTGAAGTTCGCTTTGAAGTTTCGGTTGAGTTAATGTTGGGGGCATTGTTCCGTTTTATTGTTTCGATGTACCACCCTACTGTGGCGTAAAAGGCACCACCTATTTTTGTTCACACCCAGTATTGACTATGTGCGTGGGTCTGTCTATTGATTCGCCAGTTACTTGATCAATGCTCCGTACAATTGCTGGCTAGAACACACTTTTGTGTGCCACCGGCTAGCTGCGTTCTATTGTCCTTGCGTCGTTCGGCTAGGAGCCGGTACTGCCTTTGTAGGTTTGCGTTAACTCCGTAAGCGTAGAATACCACCTGTCCACTGCTGCTCAGTGACATCCTAAGGTGAATTCTGTCAGCAATGTCAGTCCCATATCCGTGTAGTTGGGACTACATCTGTTATCATTGTTGCTGGCGCCTTGAGTGGTCAAGTGCGTCCACTTGTCAAACACAAAAGGACGTTAGCTCCGTCTGTACTCAAGGGTTTTGGGGCATAAAAGGATAATTGGTTTCTCCGTGTTTCGCACTCCCACCCCCACGCACTCCGGTGCCAACTTGGGTACTGCCTTACCTTATCTCTAATCAATGATGATAACTGTCTCAATCAAATTTAGATTAGGGTTACTCGGGGAGCGGTTGCTCCGGCTCTGCGTCTCTGGTACCCATGGATGCCGCAGATTTTTGCTTTACCATGCCGGATACTACTTCTGTTTTGGGGATAATGTGTTTTGCGTGCTTTTTCTGGGTGAATTGCACACTAATATTTTCTTTTGGTGTATTATTCTATCTGTGCAAGTTTGGGGGATACCATCTGGATAATTTTGGAGATCTCATTAATTGGCCAAACGGCCGTCTGTGTCCGCCATTTCGGACTCGTTCTACAGTAATCTAACCCGCGTCAGCCCAACGACCAGCTTGACCGACAGCGTTTGGATTCAGTCTACCCGTGTAAACTTTGCAACGAGCGACATCCGCAGAACTGACAGTCACAATGGCACGTACTGCTTGCCCACAGAAAGCTAAGCCTAAAGCTTCCGAAATGAACGTTAGTTGTGGCGCAGAAAGCTGTGTTAAACTTGTGCGCTTTGGAATAGAATGCACAAATTGTCGACAAGAAATTATATCCTCGATGTGCTTGCCTTAGTCTTACCCAGATAAAAACAACAATAGTACAACTGATTCCCTCTGGTTCTGCACCGAGTGTACGTCTATTCCACACGTCAAATGTACCACTGTGTTGGCACAGAAGTGCGATAAGCTGACAAAGATTGTAATGCAAGCAGCAGCCCTGACAGCTGTCCCCATAGGCACCAGACAAATCAGTGCCTTGATTTCGATGCTAAATATCAAGCTCCAATCTAGAACAAGATAACCAGGCCGAAGATAAGAGTAACAATCCAGAATTAATCACCCCGACTCTAGCGGCTGCTCATAAAGATGTGTTCGCCACACATTCTTTATTAGAACCATCCGCCACATCGGACATTGTTAAAGGGCGGACAACATACTTGCCCGTTGTTGATACCCAAATGACAGAGGCAATATCATCGTAACACCGCCCGCTGCCAAACGAGTTTGTACTACCCTTACCACCACGGGACTCAGGACCCCAACAGTTGTGCAACCGAAGAAAGCAGCCACTGGTCTTTACAAAAAGGAGAACATGAGACAATACCACAATGTTCTGACTGTTAGATGCACCTATGTGACTGAATCCGGGGCGAACTCCATAAATGATAAGCTACTAGATGACAAGAAACAGTGAGACTCCATATGTCAACAAATGGGGGTTAAGGCTAACCCAATCAATACGATGCGCCTCGTCCGTCACCCAAACTCCCTACACTACGTTGAACGGCGGTTACTCCAGATAACCCTTCAGTCAGGTAATAATGCAGAGACAACTCTCTTGTCAGTCACTGGCCTCTGCACCACCACATGCACTGTTCGCATTGTTCCATATGTTCCTTGGAGCGAACGCAAACAAAATCGGATGACTTCTGTAGACAACAAGACGTGAAAATCTATCTTTGTTCAAGGTGTCACCGAGCTCCAGACATTAGGCCAGCTAAAGATCAAAGCGCATAAATGCGATGAATGGCGTTTTATTCATGAAATGCTCTCACTCGAAAAGGCTATCGCTAATTCGATCTCAAGGTTACCGCTAACACCTAACTAAAAAGGGTGGGGCCCCCGAGTGATGAAAGTATGAGTACACTCCGAACCGATGGCAGAACATGGGAGCAAAATGTAGCACAAAAAGCGTAAAATGCTGCACCCGACTACGCATAAAGGCGATAGGCACCGCGCCACAGATAAATAAGGTAAAACTGTGCAGGCAATTAACCAATACAATTCCGTCACCGTGTAGCTCAGAACGGAGACAATACCAAAACACGCCGGCAGCTGAATGAGTACAGGACAGTCACCTCTCGCTGTTACTGAGAACTCTGTACAGCAACCTGAATTGGCCCTAGGACTTACGTAATCGGTCCTACAGAAAAGCCACCAGCAGCCGATTCCGCAAAGGTCGGCATAGACCCATACCGGAAACCAGTCTTCACAAACATGCTTCTAACCATCGATGTCCTCATCTGCTTGTATATCAATGCACAAAGTCCTCACAGTAAGCTAACCGAACTTCGTATGCTTCAGGTTTCCACTCCTTGGGACATAGTTATGGTCACCGAAACCCGTTTGAACACGGCGATCACCGATGCTGAGGTTGCTCTACCCGGCATGACTTCCATGGGAAACGATCGAGCTAGCAGAGGAGGCGGAGTGCTCCTGTATTATCGATCCGAGTTGCATGTTGATATCATTGACGACCCAGAAAAATGAAAATCGTCGATTCTCTTTGATGTCCTATGCACCTAAGACATGGTGATGTGTGTTTGCTAGCAATAGTTTACCGCCCTCCAAGGTCCACCTTGGAAATGGATCAGTACGTAGCTTCTGCGATGAAGCGAGTCCTGACACTACCGCACAGTCACGTCCTTCTGGTAGCGGAATTCAACGTGCACGCAATCAAAGTTCCAGTGTCATGCATCGAACAATGAAAGGCTGACTTACAAGCGTTAATCGCCGATGTACAACCATGTCGCCTCTCCCACGCGATTCCGAACGCGTGACGCACCCTCTGTTTAGGACCTTGTGCTCACCAACGAGGAGCTAATGGTCGACACCGCGACCGCAGATGCACCACTTGGCTGTAGCGAACACTCGATGTTTTTCTTTCGTTACATCTGCTACTTTGAGAGCGTCAGTGAGAACAACGAGGGAACTTATGTCGCTACCCATTAAGTTATCCTGTCCGACCTCGTTCAAGAAACAGGGGTCCTTCCTGGCTGAAAAGCCGCCCGATGTCACTTAGAGGGTGTTTTTCTCCGAATTCACCGGGCTAGTGGCAACCGCGTCTAAAAATCTAGTTCTTTCGCCCGAAGCAAGTGAACTCGGTTCTGAGCAGCCGTACTAGAAATTGCATGGCCTTAAGAGATTCAGGCTGGCGCGCTTAAAATGTTTGTTCCAGTAACCTGACTTGAGGTGCTTACACAGCACAACGAAACCACTGCGTCAAGTTGATCGGCGAAGACAAACTCCAGCACCAACGGAACTTAGTGAGGAAATTTAGTGCAAATACCAAGTTGCTGTATAGACACGTTAACAAACTCCGGTAGGTGCAACGACGGATCGCAGTTTTACTTGCAACAGATGGGCTGGCGAAAAACTACACAAGATGCGGTCAACCTGCTCTGCCAAAACTTCATCCGTACTTACCAGAGTGAATAATCATTTCACCTGCTTTTTACACAGCTCTTATCGCCACCAAGGCTAAATCACGTTTCGTTCACAGCAGCCAATGTGATGACAATGCTAATGTCATTGAGCGTGCACAGCTCTCCTGGCGTGGACGGTATCAAACCGAAGGCCTTGAAGATAGCTGCGATGAACTTTATAGAACCATTAGCTCAGTTCTTTCAACGTTGTCTCGATGAAATGCAGGTTCCCACAATGTGAAAACATGGATTAATCACTCCTATTCACAAAAGTGGTAATCATGCGGAGCCCTCGAACTACCGTCCTACCATTCTTCGCCCAGTTTTATCCGAAAGTAATGCAAGGTATAATCGCCGATGCGCTCATGCGATACCTCTGGAGTAACATCATCCTAGTGACGCAGCAGCACGGATTTCGTCGAAATCGGTTTTGCACTACTAACGAGCAACCTAGATAGAATCAGCCGATGCCAGAGTGGGAGTCGACGTCGTCTACCAGGACTTCTCGCAAGCGTTCGACCGCTTGTAACACCGCATTCTCCTGCACAAGCTTCGAAGCTACGAAATCGATGCCTCTGTGCGCAGTTGGATCGACGACTTCCTCATCCAACGTCAGCTGAATGTGAGAGTTCTCAGCTCCATTTCCAACCCAATTGACTCCAGTGTGGTGTGTCCCAAGGATCGGTACTGGGGCCATGTTTGTTCCTTACATTCAATAACGATCTTGGCAGTGTACTGCAGTCGAAGTTCTTACTATTTGTAGAGGGTGCCAAAATCTGGCATGACATCAGGAGAGCGGATGCGCACATGGCATTACGGAACTGACTCGACAGGGCTTATACGTGGTCAACCGATAATCTGCTTCAGTTCAATGTGGCAAAATGCAAAGTAGTGAGCAAACACCACCAGCTTACGCATGAAAATCGATATGGGGATCAGCGGTTGCAACGTGCTCCCAAGGAACGCGACGTCGGGGCGATGGTGCAAAACAAACTTGGCTGCTCGAGACAGGCTGAAAAGACATCCAAAAGTATCAGTCAACATCTTGTACTATTACAGAGAGCTTTCGGAAAATTCGAACCATGAATATTTTTCCCTAAAATGCTGAACGTCTACGTGAGGCTTCACGTGGAATATGTGATGCAGGCCTGGCGTCCCTGACGCAAGCGCGACATCGGTGCAATTGAAGCTCCACAACGTAGAGCAACCAAACTCGTTAGAGGATTGTTTCATCTCTCCCACCAACGTAGACTGCAGTCCCTGAGATCGTAGAATGGTGAATATCGATGTCAGGGGGGAGACCTAATCATGGTTTACTTAATACTGACGAACTCAATTCACCCATGTCACAATCCGTTGCAGCTGAGCCAAAATACAAACAGGAGAGGCCATCAGCTCAAACCGGCTGCGCACTATAGTCGACTTGATTGTCGGCGAAATGAATTCCTTCTCCGTGTGTACTGTGCCTGCCCGTATATGAAGGATATTCAAAAAGCGTCTTGACGGCACGCTCTCCAAATTGCATTAATTGATATAGTTCGTTTTATTCGGAGGACAAAATAACGTAAACCTAACCGTGTGTTTAAAGGCCCTCTCCGCAACGTGGCAGTGAGGATACATGCAAAAGTGTCCATGTGACTAGCCTGGATGTAGCTAAACTGGATTAACATACCTCATCTATCAAATGAAGAAACAAACGAGTGAGTGTTCTCGTTTCCTTTTTATTTCTCATGGATTTAGTGAACTATGACTGCTCTATACACTAGTTTGCGTGTGCACATTCCATTCCCACTTCAAACTATCGTTATGCAGTAGTGCATTTAATTCGATGGACACTTGAAATAACAATTTACTTATTCGATGATCCTTCAACTTTTAATTTTCACTCCAATCATCCTACGGGACTTGTCAAGCAAATGCTTTTTTATTCGTGAGAAATCATTGTTCACTGTTCATTGCTGCTTAACTGCAAAATGGATCAATGACCAACATACCGGAAATGGTAATTCTGCATACGAATTATCAAGTGAGCACAATCGCAAAACAACGTACCTCGTCACTGCGTGAAGAATCTCTATGGCGGATGACCAGAGAGCCGCGATTCAAGGAGTGTCGGGGAAAAACAGTCACTTTTTCTGCTATTTTATCCGCAGTTTCATCCATTTCACGCTAAAATAGCAAAGTAAACTGTCTGAGTGTATTCTTGTCATGTTTGCGGTGCATGAAGTACTTTGAAACGACAACAGCGTATTTTCGTGCACCTTCTCCTTACGTCGGCTGGTCATTTCTGCCTTCACAGTGTCTCCACAAAAATTCGTGTGTATGTTCGTCAGTGTACTGATAAAAATGGCTTGACATGTATGTAAAAATAAAAAGTCAGTGAGTCTAGTGGCCTTTTCTTGATTTTATCAACAGCCTAACTTCGGCGCTGATTTTGGTTGCGCTGTAATAGACCTTAAATGTTCAAGCTGTGCGGTACACACCCTAATTTAGTTCATCTACAAAACTCCCAACGAAGCCGTTGGGCCGTTATGCTTATCGTAGCCATAGACGATGCAGTCCTTATCGCATCGTTACTTGATACCAGCATCCCGCTGATTATTCCGCATTCTTAGAGAGCGATGAGTAGATCTTTGGTTTGCTACGCAATCGCTTTACGAGTGGCATCGTTAGCAATAGGTTTGAATGAGAGAGTATATCAATAAGACCATAGAAAACCAGCATCAAAGCGACAACTCTTACGTGGTTTAATGTTACAAAAAGTCGTTTATTGTTTTCTGTCTCAACGTGAGTATTCTTTGTAGATCACCACTAAAAGCATACATCGCTAACTCGATGGTTTTCGTTCGAGCTCTACCTGACACATTGCAACAAACAAGAGGGTTATCTCCTCTAAAAGGTTCAGTAGTCCATTCAAAATTTGTGAATAAACACTAAGCGCTTACTCTGTGCACTCATGTGTGCGTTTTGTTGATCAAAGGTGCATCAACTTATGTATCGGGCCACTTCTCTATGACACTCGACCAAACATTATTATTGGATGCACCCTAGTATCGTAAGACACACGAATCCAACGTTTCTCCTGCTCTACTTCATTGAGCATCGGAGCTGAGTAAACAGGCATAGGTATGATATGAAATGAAACTGTCAGTATCCACCAACCATGTCCACTGGTGCTTGGTGCCTTTCCTGTTGATCAGTCGTCCTCGATGGAGCCGTAGAATGCGACCTGGCATTCGAATGTTCCGACGGGCGATCCTAATGGAGTGTAGGAAGAATGATGCATATAACAGAAAAATTATGGGCATGAACCTGCACTTGTGGTAGAAATACACAATACCACTCCCTGCAATTTAACCATGTGTCAAAAGTGGGGTACACGAGACGGACGGTAAGCAAAGAAGTCGAAACAAAGGAAGCTCTACTCTGGAGTTACGGGCAAAGTGTACTTAAGAACTGCATGCCTACTTGTCTTTTTTAAGTCACTTCCAAAGGGACACTGCAAACATGTACGACACGTTACAGTCAAGTAGAATCTAGCGAGAAACCCCCAAAGTACACGTTGGTATTTTAAGTTGTTCGTCCCCTATCTATGTACGAGCCCATTTTCTGTGGATTGGTTCGAAACTTTTACTTCGTATCAAGTAATTCATGCTGTGTGGCTCTGCCCCACCCCACTCACTCTCCGCCTTTCCATACAGTAGACGTTGAATCCACACGAAGTTCCACTCGACACGGCTGGCTAGCCGAACAACTTCCCCGTGGTGCCACATGGGTGGTTCGGGTTTACCCGTTCCAACAAATAATTCGGCGGCAGTGTTCCAGGATGTGGTGGGTTTTCACCTGACAAGCGTTTTCCCTATCTATACCATTTCCCAGCCAAGTTGTCCTCTTGGGCAACAGAAATAGTCTGAGGGGCATTCAACATGAGTCTACTCAATTAATTTGTTCCGTGCGTACGCCAGTCACTTGTGCAGGTGTGGAGGTGGGCGTGTATAGCCCGTCGCCTTCAGCCAATTGCACCTCAGACACACTAAGTCATAGGGGTGCAGGTGGGACGTTTCGGCTCCTACGCACGGAACAAATTAATTGAGTAGACTCATGTTGAATGCCCCCTCAGATTAATTCTGTTGCCCAAGTGGACAACTTGGCCGGGAAATGGTGTGGTGCCACAACTGTCCGTTTAACAACACTGTTCCGTGACGTTTCTGACTCGTCACCATCTAAAGTTACCGTCCCTTGCTTATCCGTACAGCCGCTTCAAATCCACAGACGTCAAACATCCCTTTAGCAAGCAAAGGTGCAGCCAAACACTTAGAAAGCCAAGCGACTCAGCTACACATGGCTACAAGTACACATAAAACATGCATGTGTCAACATATATGACAATTATAGTATAATATTGTACACTCCTTGATCACTTGTTGTACTCTTACCATGTTCATGTCTGTGCAGGCGTGCATCGCTTAGTCGAGAATAAAATTTATTTATAGCAGCCAGAGATAGCTGTTGAATTGCCCTTACAAGCTTGTGACCATGGACAAGAATGCAAACCTGGTCCAACGAGTTTTTCATTCTAATGTCGTCTTCTTTCTACTCACTTACCTGTTGAGCTGTGATTCACCCAGTATTTTAGCTACCGACTTCTTGGATCCGTCGCTGTATGTCGTCATACTTATTTGCTTGTATTTTCTACGTCTTGGCGGTTAAACTAGACGGCTATAGGTCAGCCCCAAAACAAAATTACTTGCGGTCGCTGCTCTCTAGCCTCCACAGACTTGTTGAATCCAACTACTGAAAGCGTTAATAAACGCCACTGTACAGTGGCGGGTTGTATGTTTGTTTATGTGTTTGTTTATGTGATCATATTGTATATTGTTAGTGGCACCACAGGTAGAAAAATGCGATCCTGATTCTGTCGGTGCTTGCCCTGCTGTTCAAAAATAGCTCTGCTCACCTCCCAGCCAGTTCCATACTGAGCACTTACTAGTGATTACAACGAAAGTACTCCATTCGGTTCACCTTAATCATTAAAAGCACCATTCCAGCGACTCTGCACAACTCAAAGCTCACAGTAGCATATTCGCAACTTTGTTTATGAGTAAGGCTTCGCTTAATCCTATCAACGTGGCATCGTCATAGCCAGCTTGTTTTTCAGCGGTTGAATAAGAGTGCTGTCCTGTGAGTTCGTGCCTGATGTAGAAATTTACAGTAAATCGCATGGCTTACAACACCTAGTTTTGTACCGGGGGACGTCCGCTCAATCCCCTTTGGCCCACTTCAGATTAAGTCGGTTGCACGTATGTGCGATTGCGGCGTTTCTTCTTCGCACGGATTGACTACTCTTCATCTATCCGTAACGTAACCACCGTAGATTCATTAGGATCCGTTTTACTGGTTGGAAGCCGTTAACCCGATTCAACATAAGTACTGACTACGATCCACGATATCAGTAAACTGAGTATTATAAGCAGCCCAAATGCTTAAGTCCACATGCATAACATACTTATTTTTAGACCTCTGCAGCGGGGTTTAGGTGCTATCTAATGAGCCTGTAGTGTACCGGAAAACAAGCTCTTTCAGTATTTTGTAACATTGGATTTTACGGTTGTTTTAACCTTCGAAACGTCCACTTGTTTTACTGACTGCACGTCCGTCGACACAAACCCTTTTGGTGAGTACCTCGCTGCACGTTTCGCGCTCTGTCTGATTCGCTTCTTATTTTAGTAGCCTGCACAATACACGTTGGGTTCTGTCGCCTCCGACTTCTATACTGTCGTATTTGACACGTTTTACTTGTCATTGTTTACCTACTAGTATCCCAGGCTCCGCCCAACAATTGGCGACCCCCTGTCAGGAACATGCTGTCCGCCTTTCTGAGTTCTCATTCTGGTGAGCTCGTTCCAGTGATTTTGTGATTAATTACCTGCTATCGTTTTGTTTTCTCACTTGCCGCATATAGTTATTCATTTCTCATGATGAATAATCCTGATGATAAACCATCTACGTACGTGGTTAGTGCCGTAGAACTAGCCTCCCCAACTTTTTGCGAGCATGACCCGTTGTTATGGTTTGCGCATTAGAATCCACTTTTTACAATTGTAAACTTTCATCTGATAATGCTAAATATCATCAACATATGTCCAGGCTTCCACAAAGTATATCCTCCCAAGTGAGAGACATCATAGCTTGCCCTCCCCCCGATGCGAAATATGACACTTTAAAGCAGGCGATCATTCAGCGAATCACGCTCTCTGACAAGGTCTGACTGCAGCAACTGTTTGGGGATCTGCAGCTAGGGGACAGGATGCCTTCAGCCTTGTTGCGACAGATGCAACAGCTCCTAAACACATCCAGCATGGACGTGGGTATTCTCCTCGAAATGTGAATGCAACGACTCCAGGAAAACACACGAGCCATCCTTGCCGTGGAAAGCGCCCTGCCTCTGGCAGCAGTTGCAGAACTAGCAGATCGTGTCATCGAACGACATCAGCCAGGGAACGACTCTAAGACGTTCACTCGACTTAGCCCCGTCACAGCCCCGGCGACATACGTGACTAGTGAGCCGTCGGCAATCGACGCTTTATCATCGCAAATAGCTTCATTACAACGCCAAGTCGAGAAACTCTCTCTAGATCGTAAGCAGCGCAGCCGCTCTAACTCACCAACTCGCCGCACGAAGCCTAACAATTCAGGCTTTTGTTTTTACCACTCGCGTTTTGATAACAAAGACCGCAAGTGCCAGCAACCATGCAGTTTCTCCGCCGCCAAGCGGGAAAACTTCCAGGCCGGCCCGTAATGGCGACCAACGGTGTCGGAAAAGCTCAAAGTCGTCACATTTACATTAGGGATTATGACTCCGATACCCAGTCCTTAGTTGATACCGGGACGGAAGTCAGCGTCGTTCCCCCTATGCCAGGTGAGCCTACTACTTCTCTGTCGACAAGCCTCAGTGCCACCAATGGCACGCCAATAGCCACCTACGGTCATCGGTCGCTTACCCTGGACCTAAGTCTTCGGCGCACTTTCCGCTGGGTATTCACTGTCGCTGCAGTCCCCTTTGCCATCATCGGCATTGACTTTCTCAGGCATTTCGACCTCTTGGTCGATGCGAAACGCCAGATGATAGTCGACGTTGCAACAAAACTCAGTGTACGTGGCATCACCGCCGATGTCACATCTATATCCCCGGTCTATGCATTTCCCCAGACCTTGCCAGACTACGCTAATCTCCTTTCTCAGTATCCCAAGCTCGTTCAGCCAATGAACGCAGCTTTGCTCGTGGCAGCTCAAGTCACGCACCACATACGGACGAATGGCCCACCTGTGTCATGCCGTCCACGCCGACTATCGCCTGAGAAACTAAAGGTAGCTAGGGCGGAGTTTGAGCACATGCTTGAACTTGGAATAATCCGCCCTTCCGACAGCCCTTGGCCCTCGCCCCTGCAGATGGTCCCCAAGAAATCTGGTGACTGGCGCCCTTGCTGTGATTACCGCGCACTCAATCGCCTAACCGTCCCAGATAGGTATCCCATCCCACACATGCAGGACCTTACCGCATGCCTCACAGGTAAGACGATCTTCAGCAAGATCGATCTGGTTCGCGCCTATCACCAGATACCTGTGGAAGACAATGACATTCCTAAAACAGCCGTCATCACTCCTTTCGGTTTGTTTGAATTTTTAAGAATGCCATTTGGACTGTGCAACGCCGCACAAACCTTCCAACGCTTCATCCACGATGTCACTCGTGGCCTAGACTTCGCCTATTCCTACCTCGATGATATTTTAGTAGCCAGTTCATCGGAACAAGAGCACCTCGAGCATCCTCGAACTCTCTTCCAGCGCTTGACCCAACACGGTGTCACAGTCAACCCGACTAAGTGCGAACTCGGCAAATCAACGGTAGAATTCCTAGGCCACCTCGTTTCATCGTCTGGTATCGAAGTCCTTCCTGATAAGATCCAGGCAATCAAGGACTTCCCAGCTCCGACTTCGTTCAAGCACCTCCGTCGATTTTGTGGTTTGGTCAACTACTATCGACGCTTCATTCCGCGCTGCGCTCAGCTCATGCAGCCTCTGACTGACTTACTCAGAGGAAATGAACGTAAGTTCGCTTTCCCTGACACAGCACAGGCAGCCTTCGCCGAGCTCAAGGATGCTATCTCCAACATAGCCCTCCTCGCTCATTCCGAATCGACTGCACCTCTTTCTATTACGACTGATGCCTCAGATGTCGCGGTAGGAGCCGTCCTCCA